CCCAAAACCCCAAAACCCCAAAACCCCTTTAGGTATCTATTAGAGAAATATCTAGGAAATAGTTAATAATAAATAAATAAGGATCTTATAGATAGTTAGATAGTTTGGAGGTCAAATTAAACTCAGCAAATGATAATTGAAACTATAATATCTATTCTAGCATACAGTGTATACATTGTCCTAGGAATTCTGTTCATTGACTTTGTATTGGTGAGAATCCCAGTATAATTCATTAGCTACAGATTCTACAAAAAGTAAAATATGCAATTCATTGGGAGATGTATTCCTGGAGTTGGAGACTTTATGAAACTAGTAGAAACTATGTAAAAGCATGAGGATTACAGCCCATTTCATCCTCTAAAGAGAGAGAAGTATGGATCAAATCCTCCTGGAATAGTAGGTCTCATGATGCACTACAAACCTATATTTATCATTAACAAACCAGAATATCTGACAGACTTGTACGTAAGCAAAGCTAAATATCTAGATAAGGAGCCTATGACGAAGCTTTAACTAAAAACTCTTCTTGGAAACTCGTCACTAATGATGGAAACGACAGATGAGTAATCTTACAAAAGAAAGATGATCTCGACTGCCTTTTACAAAGATAAACTGCTTAAAATGACAGAGATTATGAAAGATTTAGTGGCTAAAAAAGCTGACTACTTGGAGAGTGAGTATCTTAACAAGAATTTACCTTTTAACTTACTGACAGAATTGAACGATCTACATATAAGAATAATAATCTCAACCGCATTCGGAGAAGATATTCAAAATGCTAAAATATGTCAGGTTAAAAATGGATAGTAAGTTATGATGGGCATGGGCGAAGCACTAAGAGAACTTTTCTTGTATGTAGCATATAGAGGGGGTAGAAAGTTGTTCTTTTGGAGTCCACTCATGATTCTCTTCTTTTACAATAAAAAGGACAGAGAGTACATTAAAAATACAACAACTGTTCGAGAGTATTGCCGAGATTTGATCAAATAAAGAAGAGCTAATCTAGACAACTAATCTGGTAAAGACTTATTGACAATTATGCTGAATGATGAAAACTATAAGAATAATGAAGAAGAGATAATAGACGAATGTATTACATTCTTCCTTGCAGGGTCTTAAACTGTGATATCGAGTAATGCAAATCTTATTCAATACCTTACAATGAATCCAAAAATTGATCGAAAAGTCAGACAAGAAATCAAACAAGAAATCTTAAATGATAGTGATCTAACCAAAGTAGTTGATATTAACGCTGCCTTTAAATATGACAAACTCCAAGATCTTAACTACTTTATGATGTGCTTTAATGAATCATTGAGAATAGAACCTCCAGTAATTTTCAGTTCACTACTATTATTTAAGGAAGACACAAAGATTAATGAGGAATTCGTAATTAAGAAAGGAGATAATTTAGTACTTGATTTCTAAGAGATACATCATGACTAGGATTAATGGATTGATCATGAGAAGTTTATACCTGAGAGATTCGATCCCCATAGTGATTTTTATCATAAGCCAAATGGTGAAAAAAGACATCCATTGGCTTTTACACCCTTCTTTGGTGGTAGAAGGATATGTATTGGTAAGACATTTGCTGAAACAGTGGCTAAATTTGTAGTTCCTGGATTAATGTCTAGATTTGAATTTTCGTTTGCTGATCTTAATGCCTACAAGGTAAAGCCTATTCTTAATGTTGATATGGTTGTTTAACCTAAGATTATGATGAAAATCAAGAGGGCATAATTTTGAAATGAAGCCATTCTTGAAACAAATAGATGAAATATAAGGTCTTTTATTTAGAATATTTTTTAGTTAAATTTTGTGATAATCATTATTAGTGGGGTTTTGGGGTTTTGGGGTTTTGGGG